TTAACGAAATAAATATACAGACAGAACAAAAATTAAACATACAATGAAAGGGTACACTGAACAAAAACATTACTCATGAAAAAATCCATCTTACGTGAAAAAGATTCATTAGAATTATTTATTATTATTTCCTAAGGTTCGATAATAAATCCTAAAACTTAAAAAAATAACTGTCAGGGAATGCCACGAAAGTCCATTTACATTTTAATTAATTGTTTTAAAATACAAAGTTCCAGAAATATTTTAGTGTGTTATTCTATTGGAATAAAACTTATTTAATTCAAATACACTATTAAGCCTACAAAATTCTGTAACTTTTTTATTAAATTATCGAACAACAAGAAAATAATTTCAAAAAAATTAAGTATACACTAGCTAACTAAAATCAATAAAAATTTAGTATAAACAAATAAATTTTAATAAAAATGTTAATTATTAGCAAAATAAACCATTTATTTGCTATATTTCCAATATTTTCCTAGTGTATTCAAGTTAAGCCGCACAAAACTAATAGAACGCTTCACCGTTTATAAAAATATAAAACCACCATAAAATTTAATAATCATCTTGTAAGTATTACCAATATTTAAAAACAATAATAAACAATATTTAAAAAAAAAGCCGGTATTTCTCACGTGCTCAAGAACTAACCACACAGATAAAGACGTGTAGATCACTCACCACAGGAGATATCTGAGATGTGCCACTGATAATGGTCACGGGTATGATGCTGATTGTTTGTCAACCCCCCGAACTCACTGTTGATTCCATTTGAACACGTATTAATGCCAACGAGCGCTACTGATAAAGGTTTGTATTTAGTTTGCCTAGGACACCAAATTTATCGATAATTTTAGCAAGGCTCTAGGGCTGTTGTCGGTACGATATCAATTTACGCTGTGCTAGACGGCGCTGGGATATTCTCTAGCAAAGGTCGGTTTTCAGTCACTGCCAATTTTTTAACGTTTCGCCAAGGCTAATTGAGCCTATTTCCATTTATTAGTTACGAGGTAATTTCATACAGGTACGTGTTCTAACAATACAGATTTTTTTTAAGTAGGTAAAATAAACTTTCTTTTTATTTATAACTTTGCACAAGGAGCTTCAAGGAGAGGAGAGGAGAGTCAAGGAGCCTTAAAAGTGATCAACTCAGTAACCATCAATTCGAAGTTGACCAAAAAACGCCTGGAGAAGCTGAACAAATTAGGCAAACAAAATAAAGTCCTCCTACTCTGGGTGCCAGCCCAGCAAGAGAAGGCAATGAAAAATCAAGCGATCTAGCTAGAATAGGAGCGATAGCGGAACTGAAGAACCAGGAAGACTCAATCCGTAACCAGGAAGGGGAATCTTCCAACGGTCGAAGACACTCGAAGAAATTTTTCAGGACTTAAGACCGCGAAAAATAAAATATTTTCCTTGATTTAAGCAGAGTACCTAAACCGATCTACGTACTCTGATTTAAGTAAGAACAATCTTGGGATTGTCACAGGGTTTTTAACAAGACGCTGTCTTCTCAAGGAACACCTCAGTTGATGACAACCATTCGGGCCATAAACTTTGGTATGACTGATATCGGAAATGGAGAACTAACCTCTGTAAAACCGTCTTTGATGTTGGCTTTTCTCAAAGCCCTGAGACTGTGTGATGAGTTATAACTCAAGAAAGATGGATACAATAAATTGTCATTGTTGCGTCATTTTGTTCACCGTTTGATTCCTGATTTGGTCCTAGTACAGTACATGCGTAGCAATGAATAGTAGTGTACATGTATAGTATCTTCTGTCTTATCGAATATATCAGTATCCGTACAGTTTGTTATTCTCAGCATGGACCTTTGTACAACTTGGAGTATCTTTGAGGTATCCTTAAATTATAATCAATTCTAGTATCAATGTCCAGGTTCCACAGCTGCGTGTCACGATGACTAGTAATATCAAGTGATAGATTAGACGGAGAATACCATCCAAATGCTCTCCATGCCAATTTTATTCTTCACTTATCGGAGAATGTATCAACAGAGACTCAGTCAATTAAATTAAACACACTGGTATGACTCTCATATACATTTATTTCTGTATTTGAAAACGCTGGATTTCTATAGAGGCAATTATCTATAGCTTGCGCCTTTTATTCCACTTTTCTAAGTTAATTTTGCTGAAGGAGCATTACGAGCAAAACAATTTTACTTACATAACAGAGATATTACTGTCATCTGATGGATTACGCTGTTTCGAGGCGCAGAGGTGAAAAGAAACATGTCAAACTTCAGTAATTAAACATTATTATTATTTAATATTTCATTGGATTTAAAAATTGAAAAAGTAATCTGGCCAATTGAAGTTTTAAATAAAGGAAAATTTAGGACTCAGTTAACAGACTTGCTTTTATTTTTCGCTCTGTGATTTATGAATGAGCTCGTAACAATGTTTGAATTTTTGTTACTGTGGAAATACACATACATTGTCTCATAAGAGTCTCCGTTAATTGACACTGGTTAAAGCTGAACTACGAACTTTCCAAACTGGTCAATTATATTAAAGTATCGCCATTCAACCTACGCCGAAATATACCTAGTGTTATATCATTTTCTTTTTCCAATCCAATATAGAGAAAATAACACAATATCGCAACAAAAAACTTTGAATTAAAATATCTATTTAGTTAGGGTAAAAAACTCATTAAAAATAAGATCTTTTTCTTTGGAAATAGTTATTTTTTATTAGTTATATAGTTAGCTATAAGTTAGAAGCTACAACCGGCTACATAAAAAAAACAATACTTATTAAACAATAAAAAAAATCGTGTAATACTTGCATGACTATATCAATTCTTCACGCCAATTTGTGTAGTTCTAGCTAAATATTCTCTCACACCTACACGTCTGCCTGTAATAATTCACCGGCAACGGGGAAAAATTAATCATTTGTTTAGAATTCCATTAAGAATTAATCTAAGCCACCTATAGTTATTTAAAACTGCTTTCCTATTTTGGTCAAAGTGTAGGCAGTTCGCGAATGAGATTAATACACAAAAAGTGCTAGCAGTCGCCACAAGGATTTTTGCTAGGAGAAGACTTTCTTTTTTTGCACAGGACCGCGAAAAGTAATATTCCAAAATACAATTTGTTGCTTAAATATTAAAAAATCTATAAATATTGTTATTATATCTCTAATTAAAAAAAATATCACTGTCATATGCAGGGTGAGTCTTAAATAAGTGCCAATATTTTCAAATCTGGTAGATCTCGATAAAAGAAACATATTTTCCCGTTACCGTTTTTCAAATAAGTCCAAAATAACTGAGATATTTTACTTTGAAAATAAAAAAAAAGATTTGTTGCTTAAATTTTGAGAACCACTGGATCTTTTCTAGGTTTTCTTCCTTGTACATTTAATCTACTACCTATGTGGCCATATTATCAAAAAAAACTCATAATCGTGTTTCTGGGGTCGAAATATACTACCCCTAAGAATATTTGCACTAATTTAAGACCCACCCTCGTATGAAATTGTCATGTCAATTTTCAATAGGCTATAAAAGGCCTATATGACGCCGTTTTTTTTCAAATGTAGTCAGTCAAGATTGTCTTACGTTAAATTAAACAATATGAATTATGCAATAGATGCTATACAAATACATTCTACTTGACTAGTTCTTTCCTTGATTGATGAGTTTCTAAAGTATAATCCAATTATTTAATAAATACCGTATGATCGAAGAAAAAACGGCGTCCAGTTAGATTGGAAATGGACAACTAATGAAATTTACATATAAAATGACAGCGATCTTCATTTCATAGCCATCGCTATATAACGCGGTTTTTTTTTCGATCCATACGGTAGTACCTAATTAATAATAAAAATTATATCCTTAAAGAGACAAAATATTGATTTGTAAAAATACATTTTGGAAAAAATGAGATAATTTGTAATCTTTAGAGAGCTCGAAGAATGGAAACCTTGCCACTGGCACTAAACATCTAATCAAATAAAACGCTACGCACCGCGCTGAAGTTAAAAAGAAGAAACAAGGAACCCTAGTTAAGGTTTAGAGTTAAAAAAATCTCACCGTTATGTTAACATTTGTTTACTCCATGTTAGCCGCCTTTAAACAAATAATTTTATTAGTTTGTCAACAAAATTGTGTCTTCTAAAGTGCTTGTTGTTAGTTACCACATTAAAGAAGCGCCTGCAGTGTGGTAACTGGCTGTCATTTTCCTGAATAAATATTTTTCTAAAACATACCTCTGTCCTTTAATGTTTTTATTTAGCTTTTCAATTCGTAAGCTGGAATAGTATTGAGAGTCTTTTTCATGGAAAAATCCCACACAACAACGTTTCTTCGATACCTTTTAGGTAAACTCGATACAACTAATCGCAATAACTAGCAATAAAAATATTGAACATGAACATATTGAAGCTTAAATATTATTTTAGCATTGAAAGGAAAGAATAATCACCGTTCTATTATATAATTAATAAAAGAAAAGTTACATTAGCGCAAAACATTATGTGAATTTAATCGCTATATTCAATTTTACATTTAATAAATAAATAAATAATAAAATAGCTATATTTGAACATTACGAGCGCAATATGGTTTTATAATTATATTTTAATTTGTATTATTAACTTCCGGGACGATTCTTAGTAATTATTAACTATATAAGTTGTTATTTAAAAATATTCATTAGCATTATTTTACATATAAATAAATATTCAAATATGTTGTTACATATTTTTTCTACATAATTAAATTATATCACAGATAGTTTGTTTTATTAATAAAATGTTTTTTTTTTAAATTCGACTAGAGGTGCCATCTGGCTTGCAATAGCCATAGCAATGTGTCAAACAGATTTTTATGTTACAAAGATCTGTTTTATTCGAAATAATTTTTATTTAAACGCATAGAGGGCACCGAAATTAGTTTAACAAAAAAAAACGGAAAAGATTTAAAAATTATTTTCAAATTAGGGATGGGCATTCTGAAAGACGATGTGTACTATAATAATTTATTTAAAATAAAAAGCAAACTTCTAACAATAAGTTATCACTATAAAAAAGTATAACACTATTGCACAAAAAAGTATTTTCTACCAGTCGTATACAAGTTAAGGCTAAACAGTTTTGGAATGTTGAGCTGTGGTATCATCAATATACCACTTACACAGTCAAAAATCTTTTCTTATATAATATAAATATCAATAAATCACTTACTTCCTAAAACTATTGCTTGTCACACCTTCACTCTAACTAATGTCTTAATGACATTGCTTATTAAACTTATAAACAGTGTGAAGTTTAATTTAAAAAAACAGTAAAACAATAAATACAGCTTAAAAATATTTAAGGTCCTTTGAAAAGCATGGTCCAAATAAATAAAATATCAGGGTTGAATATCATAATGAAAAAAATACATTATTCTCTACTTAAATTTAAATTAGTTTAGAAATTGAACACACTGCAATTAGGACGGTACTTACACCTTACATAACTTGTAAAATTTGGCTAGCTTCAAAAGCAGTGCCAGGCAGAAGAATAACTGGACTTGACACATGACCAGCCTCAACACACACCATATTGGGGTACTCATCGTCCCCAAAATCAGACATGTCCTTGGCATGATCTAGCCAAGGGTTCCACACAACTGTGTCTGGAAAATTGTATTTTTGTATGCGCATTTTGCGTCCAGAAACAACGTTTGTTATAATGTGTTCTTGAGGAGTATTTTGATAAATTCTATCAGTCCATTCATTAATTGTGACCACGTCTCTAGCCTCTTGATAAATAGTTCTTTCTCTAGTCTTATCAATAAAAGTACAACCCTGCAGGCCCGTTATTTGGCATCGGCGGACGTCAGGAACTTTAAAGTAAGTGTGTAAAAGCATGTTAAAACTAAATGTAAGTTCTTTGCTTGGGTTGTACACTGCGATATTAAAATGGAGCTCTTTTTCACGCAGAATCAGTCTATATGTTAGGCGAAATCTAGAATAAATTATAAATTTAAATTATCTTGTAAGATAAGAGTTAATAATTAGATATTATGTAAGAATAATTGACATACTGATAATTCCACATGGACCTTGTAAAATCAGAGTCCATAATAGAAAATATAGCCTCCACATCACCACTAGCAAGTCTTTCAGGAGCCTTTTCCAAATTCCATCTCACAATTCTGGCAAATCCGTGTTGTGGTCCAAATGAAGAAGCACCGAATTGAGCTAAATTATTAAAGAACATTTTAATTTAGATTCTAGTAATAACAAACGAGTGGACTTACGGAATACAAATGGAATTCCACCCCTTATCGCTTTTTTTCCATCAAAGACTGCTTGCTTACTTAAAATAAATAAATAGAAAATTTAAAAATTAAGTAACAGCAATGAATAGTGTTTTATTACCTTACAAATAGTTGTTCTTGATTATTAACTCTCCAAGACACTACTGTGGCCCCTATAAATATAAAAAATGTAGGGTTAGGAGAGTTTTTTCTGTCTTTTTTCCACCCTCGAAGATTTGAAGTGTGTGGGTGTGAAAGATAGTGGCGGTAAAAATAAGTTTTCAACTTACCATGTAAATTGATGGTGCAAGTGGTGTTGTTACCCCTATCGAGAACTACCACGCTAGTAGCGGCCATGGCGGGGTTTTTTTAGGGGCCAAATTGGCCGGGCTGAGCCAAGCAACAACGCTTTCGCGTTGTTTATCGCCGTAAAAACACGGCGTTTTAGAAATATGACTTTGGGAAGATTACCTGCGCAAGAACAAGCAGGTGTAAGGTCCCTCTGTCGGTATACTCGCGAAAAAAATAACAATTCTGGGTGACACGGACTGGACCACTACGCGCTTTCGCGATACTTGGTCAGAGAGTTGGCCTAAGAAAATCTATAGCGACCAGCGCAACGCTCCCTATTCGCTGATCTTAATATGCACCAGAACGAACCCGACTAGTTTTTCTAACTTTACAAAAAACGACATTGCTGGAGATGATAAATGAACATTTTTGAATAGCTGGCGCCATCTTTGTAGAACTTCATTAACCTTAGAAATCCCCCAGGAACGACAATGGATTATCTTTAAACAACGCCAATTGATTTTAATTTTAAGGTTTCTATATCGATAAGAATATAGTCATAACTAACTTGCCACAAACAACCTGAGAGACGCAGATATTAAATATTATCCTTGTATATTATCTATTTAAATACGGTTTATAGATAAGAAAAAAAAATATATATTTAATTCACTTTAATAAAATCCTTTGATAACAGATGGCGCTACAGACAAGCGGCCAAGTTGCCAATACTACATGTTGCCAACTATTCCAAATATTCCAATTATCACATATATTTTAGTTATTGTAACTGATTGTTTCTATAATATTCAACAGCTGACATATAGAAGTCAATAACGTTATTATTAAAGGTAACAGTAATAGAACTTAAGAATAGAACTAGGCCAAAAAATTCTATAAAAAATGTTGTTAAAAATAGTTATTTACGAGAAACTTGGCAACAACCGGCATTAGGGTCAAACTGTCAACTATACATTTCCAGATCTTTTTTTTGTAATTCATCACACTTCAAATCAAAACGTTTACGAAAAATTATAGCAAGAAATATGAATTCTATTCGGAGTTCTAGGATATTATCATCCAACAGTGTGAAGTAAGTATGTTATTATGATCTGGCATAGTTTTCAGGCAGCAATTTTTTTAAAATGCGTGCTAGAACAGTTTTCATTACATAATATGATTTTAGACAACATTTACGTTTAATGTCCCAATTGGGGGACCTGGGTAGTGGTGCAGGCAAAGGTGGTGGTGGAGGTGGATCCATCAGAGAAGCAGGAGGTGCCTTTGGTAAGCAAGAAGCAGCCAGAGAAGAAGAGTACTTTTACAAGAAGGTTAGAACACCACCCTAGTCTTAATATTGAAAAAACAGTAGTTCTCTGTAAAATATATATAAATATTATCCGTGCACATAGACTAGAAGCATGTATTTTCCTTAAATTCCATTGCTTTAGTTCCTTCTTTAGAATATACTAAACAGTGTTAAAAACAACTGATTATTATCAATTATACCAACTACTAAAGAAGATATATTACCTATAGGTTTAATAAATTACTCTATTTTAATTAATACCGTATGATCGAAAAAAAACGACGTCCAGTTGGCTGGGAAATGACAATCGATGACATTTTTCATATAAATTTACATATAAAAGGACATTCGATTTTCATATTCATCGCTAACGCCGTTTTTTTTTCGATCATACGGTATTAACATCGTGTATTGAAATACTCAATATCTTCCTTTATTTTTAGCAACAGAAACAACTTGCTCAGCTAAAGGAGCACCTACATGATGAAATAGCCTTTCATGAAGAACAGATCAAAAGACATCAGGAGGCTATCGCCCGCCACAAAGCCGGTGTTGAGAAGTTGACTAAGTAGGAATCTAAATATTATTCGTGTTTATGAAGCTATTATTAGCGATGTTAATTTTAGGTATTATCACCTTTCATGATTGTAGTATTTTGTTGTTTTTTTCGGTAATAAGAGAATAAAAAGCTTTTAAAGTTAAACATGATGTGTTTTCTTACTGTAAACATTTTTCTCTGTTGCTGGAAATAAAGTCAATAGTGTGTATAATGTTCTTAATACGTTTGAATTTCCCGCTAGAAAGATTAGGCGACTTAAGAATGACTTAAGTGCAAAGCTTGTCAGAGTTTCTGTCTTAACGCAAGCGCGGCTATCAGGCTTTGCAACGTTGTCATATTGATAATTTTTCCTTATAAGAATTTGGCTATTTTCTTTAATATGCTAAAAAAAATAAATTATGGTATATTTCATGAATAAACTTTTGTATAGAGAGAAAACAAAAAATAAACTAAGTTATTCTTTTTATACACTGCAGTATTATTACTATTTTGAAATATAAATATTACGTAAAAATATAAGGTTCTGTATTTTTTTTTAAATTAAACTATTTAATGATATAAAACATTGATTTAAATCTGCCAATTCTAAACAGCGATTTGTACCAATTTTGTAACATTTATTTTCTGAAAATAGTAATAAAATGGTGTTAACTTGGCGACTGTGTAAAGGTAAAGGAAATGTCGGACAGGAAATCTGACAACGTGCACGTTAGAAACGATTGATCAGTGCACTGAATGCTTTTGCTGATTGAGTGTAGTGTAGTGCCATTTCAATTTTATACAAAAATAAAGACCTTATAGCAAGAGGATTATTGAAAAAGTGTAATAGTGATGCATTTTAGGATATCTTCTGTGTTATGTTGGGCACTACTGGTTGCTCTTACCTCAGCGGCACAGGTAATTCTTTGATTCATACTACGTTCTTCCCTGAATATATGCATCCTTTTAGCTATTCTATAACCTTTCTGACACACGTCTCGAATTTACATTAATACTCTTTCGAATGGAATATTCAGCTGCAAATTTAGTTCAAAACGTTACCTCCATTCAGTATATACTAAATTTTGGATGTTAAAATAATAAAATATGTAAGGCCACTTTATATTATTTATGAGTCAAAAATTTATAGTTCGTGCTCCTTATGTAAACAAACTGCACTCAAAATTAACTTTAAAGATTAACAAACGGTCTAGAAGTACGGTTTAGACCAGGTCAAGTATGATTTCAATAGCTCAACATCAGTAAATAAGGTTACAAGAAAGAATTTCTCAAATAACTCTACAGATGTTTCCTTCCTACCAGTTTCAGTGCCTTATAAACTTTTATTATTTACTTTGAAGGCATATGTTTAATAGCTGCTTTCTGAATTGCGTTTAGATCGAAAGAGTACCTACATTTTCAGTAATTTAAAAAAAATCCTCCGTACCCTGTAATATTAATATTTTATATTAAGTGATAGTTCTGAAATCACACAATTATTAAGCTTAAAAAGTTTGTTTTTGATGTTATCAGGGTTGTGTTACTAAACACTTTAAATTGTCGTGTGTAAAAATGAAATAAATAAATAAAACAATACTGTATAGGATCAACTTTTATAAGATAATAAACTATTAGATATATTAGGTAACTAATATCTAATCTTTTTCAATTTGAAAATGTTTTGGGTACGGAAAATAAATTGCGAATTTCTATAACTATATCAAATTGCATATTTTGAACTTGGATTGTCTCTATTAATAAAAGTTATTAATATTGCACCTGGATCTAAGAGACTAGGATCATTTATTCCTATTTTAATATACGTAGAATGGAATTGAAAGAATTAAAATATCTCAGCTACTTCAGAAATTAGTTTCCAAACATTCTTAATTAAAATTTATATCCAAAATACACGCAGAAAATGAATTGATGCTGGATGAGTCTCTGGATCGCTGAAACTAATTCAAAGTTACTCAATTTACTTCAAAGGTATGAAAATAAACTTGACGTAGCTTCAAGTTAATTTGCTGAAGATCGAGAAGGTAAAATTTTCCTTATTTTAATCAAAAGAAAAAAAATCAATTACCTACTAAATCAAAAAATATTTTTAATGTCACTAACAGACGTGTAAATGTAACTTTTTACCCAATACAATAGGTAAAATATGCGATGTTAAATTTTTGTCTAAAGTTCGTACACAAAGGGCCTTGGTGGTCGAGGATCGCCTAAGGCTTTCGAGCTTGAAGGAGCTTTAAAAGAAGGAAAGCATCTTTTAAAAAGAGGATCCAAGTTATACACGTAATACGAAAAACATACACTTGAAAGGTCTTTATACCTGCTTAGGGCAGAAGGAAGGCCCTCCTTTCTGTATATGGCTAATAATAAGTCTGTATATTTAGAAGATGACTTCAGTTTATTTTCTTTCATAATCAAAGCCAAAATTGAGAGTGCAAACCACGTTGCGTCAACATATTTAACATCTTTTATATTAAAGTATTGAAAAGTCAACAAATAATTTTATAGCTACGCCTGTTCGGGTCTTTTTTACAATTTTTAGTTTCGTTAAGTCACTTCTATATAAATAAGTGTCTTCAAAGGCACCGGCGAGAAGAAAAAGGGTCCTAAGGTAAAGAGAAAATCATAAACAATAATTTGTTTAACCGCAATATAATTTTACAGCCCGTGTAACGCCGTGGCGTCAAAATTTACATAGGACAGGGATATAAGCCCGTAGTTCTTTTTTATCGTTGTTGTTTAGAATATTTTATTACATAATAGAATGGTCTTTTTCCTTTGAAGAACAGGAAACAGACTGTATGACGATGACTGGAAATAAAACGGCGGTCACGTTTACATTTGCAGTTTTAACTATACGGTTTTAATACAAATTTATTCTGCCGACAACAACTATCAAAGAATTTAATTTGTTGGATAATGTACTTAGAACAAATAATGACAAAACATCGTTATTTGAAGTTTATTAAGAACAACATTTTTTTTCTGAAGATATAGAAATACTTTCCTTAATAACCATCGCTGAAAGCCATATATCTGGACCAGCGATGTTGTATTTGAAAGAAGTTTGCCTTATTGGAACAGGGAGTTATGAGAAATTCCTTACAGTGAACTGAAATTAAATTAAATTAAATCTTTTGGAAAAGACTAGACGATTTCATTTAATTTCAGACATTTGGTGCATTTATTGCAAAAATTTTGCGAATACCTACAAAATGAAATGGGGATAGCTTTTGCTAAAAACATTAACAAAATTAAACTATTAATTAATTCTTTTAATTAAAATTGTTATGACTCTTATAATAAATAGTATTTAGATATACCTTTGTGCGGATTCATTAGTATAGTAGTAGTTAAAAAATTACCAAGTACAATATAATATAAATATACAGAAGTACAATATAAATATAATCATACAAATGCAAAAAATAAGCCGCCATAACAGCATGGAACATGGAACATTGTTAAAGATAAACAGTTTAAAAACAAATTCGGTCATACAATTTTTAAAAAGTTAACATTTTGGAAACTAAATACATATGTATGTAGAAGAATGATTGCAATTGCAGTGTCCAGAGGGAAAACATGATTAGCGCCATTTTACTAATTTTACAGGAGAGCACTGGACGGCTTGCGGTTATCAGGTTCTTTCCGTGTATTCGAGGTTTTTACTAGGCACTAGGCATATATCATTAGGATTTAACAACTTATTGCTGTGCAGAATTTATACATTTTGTAGGGATCAGTTAGATCTACTATAATATAGTAAAATCCTAAAACTAAGAAATTGGCGCTTATCAAGTTTTTCGCGTGGACCCTTCAATTGAAAATTTAAGAATGATTATATTAAGTTACTCTATATGATGTAAAGTCTATAATCGTCATTAAAAAACTCATTAATAGAGTAGAACGCCTTTTTTAATAAGTAGTTCTGAACAATGCTCTTTGCCATTTTATTTGGGAGATATCTCACCATTTCTGGAAGAAAGACAGGCAAACGGAAAACAGAGGCTTTTAATTTGTAAAAAAATTGCCTAACTCAAAAACCTAAAGAAAAAAATTACTTAAAATTACTAAATCTAGTTATGTGGCACTGGCATGGCTATAAATCGGTTAAGTTCTGACTAGTTCTGAGTCCACAGTTCTGAGTTCTGAATTACAGTAATAGACCAAAAAACTTTAAAATGCTTTATAATTTTACTTATAGTTTATAGTTATATGAATAGAGATACCTATATGAGCAATTCATTTATTACTAATGAGCATTGATTTGAACGATCAGCTGCAGTGTCTCCTTTTTTTTCATTTGCCACAAATTAATGGAATCTTGGCCTTTAAAACTGTTAATTTATTTTCGACCAGAGGACAGACACAGTCCTTTATAGATTTATGAATCTATTTTTAACACATTCTTTCGAAATATATTAAAAATAGTTTTAGAAAGTAAATAAATCTTTTTTCCGTGATAATAAATTATTGTTCTTTCGATAGAATCACTTTTAAGACGATCGGTATATTTGTGTATAAATTTCTCTAGCTTATTCTGAGATGACGTCTGCGTGTAGGTATATGTATGAATATCCGGCCATATCAAAAATATACACCTAGAATTCATAGGCGCACGTACGATTTTAGTTCTAGCCTGATTAGGTAGATTGCTTTGCGTAACGCTGCTTTATCACACTTGCAAGAGTATGTCAAGATCGAAATATTGTATTTTAGCAAATTAGAGCATGTTTGGAATAGCTTGTGTGTAGGCAAATATGGCCTTTTATTGCTATAGGCGTTGTGTACACTAAAACATAATATTACTTTAAGAATAATTTTCTACTTTTATATAATATGATCTCATTTTTTAACTGTACGCTTCATTATCTTAGTGTGCTATTCTACATAACGCTATTTTTATTGGTAGCTCTGGATTTTAGGAATTTTTTGAAAAAAATATTTTTGGTAATTTTATTTTTAAAATACCGAATGTTACGCCTCTGTTTGTCCTATAACCTAACGGTTTTAGCCGCCTTCTGTCTGAAGGTACCTCTTCTGAAAGTAACAAATATTTAAGGACTGAATAGCACCCATGTGGGATACATTTTATATACTCTGAAAGGTTTTATAGTTTGTAAAACAGCATAGGACGAAATATTTTTTTTCATGTTCAGAAATATTATGTACAGGGTGGGTCAAATTCGACGCTTTTAAATGGAAACACCCTTTTCTACAGGAGATAGACGAAAACTAATATCGGTGTCTGGAGCTCAATTTTCATCAAAAACATGATGGTGAAAACCGCGCACATCAATATCTGTTACCGTTTCGGAGTTACTGGGTGTTTTTCAAAAATGTGCATTTTTAACAAATCACTGTAACTTTTTTACTATGGAAAATGTTGTATTTCTATGAAAACATTTCCAAAGCACCTTTTTACGTAGAATTTAATGGTTTAAGTATACTTTTTTTTAAATTAATAATTTAAGAGTTATCAACAGAAAAATTGATTTTTTATTTAGGACACCCTCTATATTTTTAATTAACTGAAAAGAATTTGCGGTTTTCACAATCATGTTTTTGACAAAAATTAGGCTCCAGACACCGATACTAGTTTTTGTCTATCTCCTATAGAAAAGGGTGTTTCCATTTAAAAGCGTCGAATTTGACCCACCCTGTACATAATATTCCATTATTTTAAATTCAGATCTGCTATCCGTGAAAAAGCTTATTATGTTAATTAAGGCGCATTATATAAAATGTAAACAGCATTTATACACTATTTTATTAGTATCACTCGTTTACACGAACAAGGGTTGTAGAGCTTAGCTCGGTTGGAGTTTTTTCTAACATTATTTAATGACTATTACTATTATTATTTCATAATTTTAATTTAACCTTCCCTCAAATCAATA